CTTACCCACTAGTCTCCGAAGTAGGTAAAAATGGATTGTGGATTCACCTCATTATGGCAGGTTTACTCGTAACACTTTCATATTTTGCCAAAATTAACAACAGTTTAATTTTTCCGGCCCACTATTTGGATATTGTCTTTCAGGTAACAATTATAATCCATCTTAGAGGAGTAATTGGTTTCCGGTATATCATTAAAGACCTGACGTTTATCTTATGTGAAATCGTGTGACGAAGTTATTCTTGGTTTGAGTTTATCAGAAGACAAATGCGGATTCCACTTGGATAACTTTAGTTCCGGTGAAAATGTGCTGTGTCTTCCTTTGTCATGTGATAGGCCTCATAAAAGCTGAACCTTATCTTTTTAACAACCCTTAACGATCACCGAATCAAGAACACTAAGCTGTTCATCTCTACGTGCTGTACGTGCTGTATAATAAACCTAAATTTCACTCTGTGTGTATTGATTTCGTTTCATATATATCCGCGTGTATACTATTTTGCTTGTGTGTGCATTTCTCTCCTTGAGTATTTGTGCGCGTGTGTGCATTTAAAGGGTAATAAGGCATCAGTAAACCGAGGAGGGATATCTCGAGGATTGTACCAACCTGAGATGTCTAGAAAAAGTAAGCTGCTGCAGATCAAGTAGAGTCTTCAATCGTTCTCTGGTGAGACCGATCTAGGAAATGTCTAAACCACTTATTTTCCCTTGACTTTTGTTGCCAATTCTAGGCGACATTTAACTGAATTTAATGCCAATGCCCTGATTCTTCTCGTGGGACTGACACCGTTGCCATATCCCCACTTTATTTTTTTTCTTTTATATCACGTAAACATCACTTTTGTCTTACAGTATATTCACATGCAGGTATTTGCACAAGAAATCACACAATTGTACGGCAGGCAAAATGCCTACTGGAAGCAGTGAAGAAGCCACATTCACGCTTTACTAAAGCTCTAAATTGTCTTTAAACCCGTCTCTTTCGCCCATAGAGATCGTGAGAACCGCCCGCTCGACCTCTCGCATCCACTCGTACAAGTTGTTATCGCCTGGCTGACTGCCGGCCCATCCTCCACGCAACCCGATTTCCTGGCCAACAAAAACTCGCATGCAATCTCAGCTGCCCAGAAACCTTCAGTTGTGCCTACGGTCCTAGGCGGGTTCGACTTGGAGCAGGCTTGGCGTCAAGGCCTTCGAAATGTAGGCACGCCTCTGATCTCCGGCCACACCTGTTCAGAAACAGAACGAAAACTTCGCCTTAGACATCCGCTAATCTCAGACTACTTTTGTCCAGTCAGTATTGCTCGTGATGGTGAACAGATCAAACCCGTGGCTTCTGGTCGTCTGAAGAATGAGCATCTTTCGGCTGCATTTCAGACAGCTGGTCGTCAGGCCTTTTTCGCCTATCCCAATGGAGGCCAGATTGATACACAAGTGAGCCAAACATTGTACACATCTTACTTAAATACAGTATACAATATATATATATATATGGATATGGATATATAATATAAGATATTTAAAATAATAAAGAGGATACATAATATTATAGTATAATACTAATATATATATAATACATTACACTATATGTCTTATTTATTTCCTTAAATATGTTGCATGATTTAAATATAAATATAAATATATATATATATATCATTAAATTAAACACAAATGTACAAATATATATATATATATCCCACAATAAGTATAATGAAATAAGTAAGATATATA